TGTCCCTCAGACCGTTGGAGGGCCTCCATGTACTGTGCTCCTCTCACTGACCACCAATGAAAGAGGTGCCCCTTCCTGAAGTGCGGCAGGGGGGCCAGATAAATGGCCTCAGGGGGCCGCATGTGGCTCTCGGGCTGTAGTTTGGGGACGCCTGGTCTAGAGTTAGAGACTTAATGAAGCAGAGATTCTCTCTGCCTTAATCGCTGGTCTTGAAAAAGCAAGCTTTTATGAATTCTGTAGCTACAGATGAATTCCACTAACAACCCAAGGGAACTTGGAAGCAGATGCTTCCCCTGTCAAGTCTCTAGATGAGAATGCAGCCTGGATAACACCTCTATAACCTTGTGAGACCCTGAACAGAGGACTCAACTAAACTATGCCCACACTCCTGACGCATGAATCTGTGACATAGTACATGTGTTTTATTTTAAGCCATTAAGTTTGTGGTAATTTGTCATGCAGCAATGGAAAACCAATCCAATGATAGATTAGACAGGACTAACTTGCCTTCCTGGAGAGAGAAGACTTCAAGCACTGGGGCTTTCAACAGCATTGCTGAACAACAGGACCCTTGCTGACCTTCTGTATCCTCCATGTGAAATCCAGGCTAGGTTTATATCTAATAAATGAGCTCTCCTGCCTACCTCCTGAAGGTTTCCTCTTGTACTCAATAAAACTATCCATTCAATGTTAGATTTGAGGGCAACAAAGTGCATTCTTTTCCCTACTAGTCTAAATCTACCTCACTTTATGCAACTAACATGATACTGACAAACTACAAAATTATGTTTTTCCAAGTTGGATTCAATTTTCTTATTTTTCAGTTCATTTAGTTAGTTAGCTAATGATTACAGAGCACCTACGACATCCCTGGGGCTATGCTAAACATGGTTAAAGACTGAAGGACAGTGGCGAGTTGGTTCTATACTTTGAGGAGTTTAAGAAAGAAGCCTCACGTACCAGAAAAAGTCAAAGAGCGATAGAACACTAAACTCTAAAAGTAGGAAAGAGGAGGTATTTCCTTAGTGCCCAGGAATAATGAATTTTGTTTTGATTGTACAGGCTTCTTCCTCAGAAAAAAAGGAGGGTCTTGGGAATGTTCTTAGCCTCCAGCTGAATAAATACATACAACAGTAGTTTGTAATCTGTTAACCAATCATATGCAAATCCTGCTTATTCAGGATTTTGGAATAATTTTGAAAACATGGAGATGAAACTGAGTTACCCAACCAATTTCTCAACAAGTTTTATTTAACAAGTAATGTTTATTGAACACCTGCTATACCACAAGCCCTGTACTAGGTACCGAGAATACAGTGGTGCGTGTGTGAGAACATTTTAAACCATAACTAACAGAAAATTAGATTCGAATGACTTAATAAACAAACTTATTATCTAACCAAACAAGAAATTCCAAGGTAGATTAGCTTCAAATTCGTGGAAAATGTTATTTTTATCTTTTTAGAGATGGAGTCTTGCTCTGTCACCTAGGCTGAAACGCAGTGGCATGATCATCACTCACTGCAGCCTTTGAACTCCTGAGCTCTAACAATCCTCCCACCTCAGCCTCCTTAGTAGCTGGGGCTATAGGCATGTGCCACCATGTCTGGCTAATTTTTAGTTTTTTCTGTAGAGATGGGGTCTGGCTTTGTTGTCTAGGCTGATCTCAAACTCCTAACCTCAAGGGATCTTCCTACCTCAGCTTCCCAAAGTGTTGTGATCACAGATGTGAGCCACTGTGCCAAGCCAGATTTGCAGAAAACAGACGATGCAACACAGCTCACCCAACATAATTAAGAGTCTGAGCTTTTTATTTTTTCATTTTCTTTGCCTTCAGACAGCGGCTTATTCTTAGCTGTCTCTTCTCATGGTCATAAGACAGCTGCCATGTCATGTTCCAGACACATCTCACAATGCCGTCTAGTAGAGAAACAAGTACTGTTTCTTCTCATGGCTTCAGGAAACTGGAGGCTTGAACAGAACTGGGGTTCTACTAAAAGGAGGAAGGCGAATGAACGGTAGCTGAACAGACCATCTACTAACTGCATCAAGTAATGATTAAATAGACCGCCCCTACATTGAGGGACAGAAACAATGTCACAGATGACATACAATTACAAACTGTGGCAAATATGTGATCAGAGAGAACCATGCATGTAGCAAGGTCGTGGATCCAGAAAGGCCACTCTGAGGAAGTGAAAAATGAGTAGGAACTGGCCAGGCAGGCTTGGGGAAAGAGTGTCATAGGCAGAGGGAAGAGGCTGGGTCATCTGAGACCATGAAAGGAGGCTTGTGTAGGTGGAGTTCCTGGGACGGAAGGAGGGGAAGTGACATGGAATGACCCCAGGGCAGCAGGCAGGGGGCTTCCTGCACCATGGGAAGGAGCTCGGGTTATATCCTGACAGCTTGGCCTGGGTGGTGACAGAAGACAGGGATGGAAAGTGGATGGAGATGAGCATGACTGGCTTTGCTAATGCCCTGGAGATAGAAACATGGGTTAGCCCAGGACTTCCTCCCCAGGCATACTGACTGACTGAGGAGCTAAGACTTGCATGCACATACATTGGTGGAGAGTGATTCAGGGCCACGTGGGAGGTGCGGAGAAGGAGATGCAGCAGTTCAAAAGGCAAGATCATGGGTTTGCGAGCAGGACGGATTTCAGGGCAGTGTGTTAAGGAAGGTGGTATTTCAGCAGGCTTTCGAAGGTTGTGCAAGGTTGGTTTAAAGGTGCAGACATGGGAGAGGGCAGCCTAGAAAGAGGAATTAGCACGACGAGTCTAATTAGCACAGATGCAGGAAATGAAGTAAATAGCAGAGTTTGTATGGCATTGTGAAGGAAAGTTCTGGGGATAAGGCTAGAAAAGTCTTGGTGGTCAGATTAAGATTTCTGTGTGTCAGTGTAGGATAATAAGAAAGGAAAAACATTTTTTAAAAAAATGTCTAACTTAGCTACAAATCCACTTGGTTTTCTCAGGAATAATTAATGTGCTATTCAAGTCCTGATTATTTATTTCAAGTCAAGTCCTGATTATTTATTCAGTAGATGGAATAGCAATACCTCTTCCTGGCATCACTGCTACCTGCAGGTCACTTACCAATGATTTCTAATTTCTTTTAGAATGCATCCCTTCATCATGTATTGAGTATCAGTGCTAGAGATCCTAGAATGAAAAGGCGTGGTCTCAATTTACCATGAAGAGGTAAATTGCAATTAAGTATGATGCAAGTGTTTTGGTAGAGGTGGTACAAAGAAGGGAAAAATTCTCCTGTTATCTGGAGTTGGGGGCTAGATTTAGCAGAGTTGGTGACATTTAAACTGGGCTTTGAAGGATGAGTAGGAGTTTGCCAGGCAAAGAAATGAGCTGGGAAGGCCTTATAAACACAGGAAAACAATCTGTGCCAAGACACACATGTCTTCTTAATTCTCACACCTTCAATCCTACAAGCATTGTGATGTATACATTTTTAAGTTTTATTTTCAGGCTTTTAGGGGAAGCTTGGTGATAATGAGTGAGTTCTTTCAGTTACTACAAGAGTTTGCATCTAAGTATTTGACCCCTATAAACATGCATTTTACCTAAAAAGAAGCCAGGATTTTAGTTAGCTAAATTGGCTATACCCTTTACCCACAGTTATTCCTCTGGGAGGTTTTACTGATTTTTAGTTTTCCAGGAAAGCAAGGAAAGAACTCTTAAATCTGTTTTTTCAGAGACTAGCAAATTCATTAGTCATCAAGGTAGGACCTTCATCTCTTCAGTTTTCACAGGAGGATGGGAGAAGTCATAATTCACTGTCATATCTGGCTCCCAATTTTGACATTTGCAGGAACTTGGTCCCCTCTGAACTTCCTGGGTGTTCATAAAAGTTATTTTGGCCAGGTGCAGTGGCTCACGCCTATAATCCCAACACTTTGGGAGTCCAAGGCAGGCAAATCTCCTGAGGTAAGGAGTTCGAGACCAGCCTGGCCAACTTGGTGAAATCCTGTCTTTACTAAAACTACAAAAATTAGCTGGGCATGGTGGCAGGCACCTGTAATCCCAGCTACTTAGGAGGCTGAGGCAGGAGAATCACTTGAACCCAGGAGGTGAAGGTTGCAGTGAACTGAGATTGTGCCACTGCATTCCTGCCTGGGCAAGAAGAGTGAAACTCTGTCTCAAAAAAAAAAAAAAAAAAAGTTATTTGAGGCCCAGATGGGCATCCAAAGACTATCCTGTCTCAAAAATTTGTTAATGACAATTTCAGCTCAAGATAAAAACTAACATATTAACACAGTCTATGGGATTATGAAAAAGTGAGCAAGGAATTTATTCAAGACTGGAAAGAATTATCTTCTTGTCCATCACTCCCATTTAGCAAGGGTGTGGAAATCAAGGCCCAGTGACACGATTATTTTTCGGTCGCTATGTAAGCCGGGGACCTCTGGCTGGTGACACCCTGCCCAGGCCTCAATGAGCCACATAACCTACTGCAGGAAATGGCCTGCCCACTTGGCCAGGTGGGGAGTTTTACTGAGTGATGAAACAGCTTTCAGTGGAAAGGGGATGCAGGGGAGATTCCCCTACCCAAAGACAGGAAAGTCCCCTCAATGTGGCTGAGTCTGGGACTTTTATGGGCTCAGAATAGGGGAGGGGCAGGTCATAGGTAGTACTGAAAAAGGCAACATTCAATTGGTTAAAGGGCAGACAAACAGGAACAGAAGTTCTCACTCTAGGTCATGGGTTTCATCTGGGACCAGCAGTCTAGTCTTTCAGCCTTCAGGCTGTTTTGGGCTTGAAGGTGGGGTTTCACCAGGGACCTACCCCTATATGCCTAGGCATTTGGCTGCCTCCTGTCACTATCACCAGGAGGGTGCCTTGACCGGCCAGGGTTGGCCTGGCTCTAGAAGCAGAGCTTTGGCCAGAAGCTGCCACAAAACAGGGGTGGGAGAGAGAGGAGGAGCTGGCTGACAGAGCAGAAGCATTTTGGGGAACTGATCCTTCAGGCAGCATCTGATGTACTTCCTCTCTCCTCCACACTCCGCCCCCACTCGCCCTCTCTCTCTCTCTGCTTCTTTCCTTTTCTCTCTCATGGTAGGGTTATGAGTCAGTTGCCAAAAGGTGGGGACATTTCCTGATACATTTGCAACACTGAGAAGTTATCTTAAGGGAGGCTGAGCCCCATTCTACTCATCTGGCCCAGAAAGTAAACACCTTAGGGGCCACTAGGGCAGCGCTGTTGGGGGAGACGCCCCAACCTGTCCTCTCCCTGTCTCCTGGCAGCTCTCTTGGCCTCCTGGTTTCTACCTGATCATGTCCCTGGCGGAGGCCATTAGCCTCTGGAATGAAGGGGTGCTGGCAGCTGACAAGAAGGACTGGAAGGGAGCCCTGGACGCCTTCAGTGCAGTCCAGGACCCCCACTCCCGGATTTGCTTCAACATCGGCTGCATGCACACCATCCTGAAAAACATGACGGAAGCCGAGAAGGTGAGTGGAGGTGCCTCTTTCTGGGCCTCCTGTGTGCATTTGTTATTATGATTCGCAACTCCGTGGCATTTCAGAAGCCTAACCTCTGGGGAGATTGAAAAGAACAAAAGCTCCCCAAGCTCCACCCCTAGAGAGCCTGATTTAACTGGTCTGGGAGGGGCCCCAGGTGGCCAGTTTTAAAAGCTCTCAGGTGGTTCTGAGGGGCAGCCAGGGTTGCCTCTTTCTCCATCTTCTAAATTCAAATCATTTCACGAGTGTCTTTAACGCCTTTATGAAGGCTGCCCTAGTCATATTTTCTTCTACACAGAACTCCTTCTGGGCACAGAATCTCTATCGGTCGCATGGCTTTACACCTGATTATTGATTATAAGGCGCCTCTTTTGGCTTTCCAAGACTTTCATGTGTGTCGACTTTGCCTGCTCAAGAGATTTAAGGGAGGCACTTACTAAAAACAGGTTTTATCTCAAGTGACAATTCTGACCAATTATGCAGGAGACTGTATTAAGGATGCTGAGGCTGGCAAGCGGGTCCTCTGCCTCGCTCTGGACTTTCAGTCTTAAGCAAGCTAGGGAGCCTATGTAAGCGTCTGGCTTTCAGCTTCCTGCATTTCTAAATATCATGAAAATTAAGTGAGACACCTAACTATTAATGTCCTGTGGAACTGCACACCACTGTTTAAAAGTTAGTTAATATTTTTACCCTTTAGTGCCAGTCTTTGCCAGGTGTGGATGTGTGGACAGATGGCTGATTCCCCAGGTTCCTCAAAGAACCAGTTGCTCCCACAGTCTGAGAACAGGTCAACAAGCCTCCACCACAGCCTCCTGACAGGAAGACAGAGGAGTGACTGAAGTGCTCTCACACAGTTTGGCTAGTCAATCTCAGGCTCCAGAGCAGTGCGTGCAGGGCCCTCCACCTCTGGCTGGAGGGAAGACAGGGGCCCCACCTCCTCTCGGGGGCCCGCGGGGGGCTGAGTGAACATTCACCACACATTCTGAGGGCTGACGCACACAAAGTGCTCATTGTCAGCGAGAAGAGACTGGCAGCTAGTCTGGCACCATTATGCCAGCAGGGACTGTAGTCTCCTGCCTTGGCCTGTGGGACCCTTGGCAAGGCTGTGTGGGCCACCACTCACCTCTCAGCTCCCGGGCCTTCACGTTCACAGGGCTCTGCTTCTCCTGGCATTCCTCTGCTTCTAGCCTTCTCATTCCCTCTGCCTTTGAACCCTTCCTAGTAGCATTTTATATGCATTCCTACTTGTTATTTTAATTGTATACTATTCATGTAATAAGTGTGTCCAGTAAACAAATGTAATCATTTATATAACATCTTCATTATTTTCATTTGCAGTAAATTTTATTTTTTATTTAAACTGAATGTTTAATATATTCATAGGACTAAAAGAAATGCAACAAGGGTTAGAATTTCATAATTCCGTTAGATATTTATGTAAAAGATGTTTCGTTTTTCTTTTTTTTTAAGAGACAGAGTCTCGCTCTGTCACCCAGGCTGGAGTGCAGTGGTGCGATCTCAGCTCACTGCAACGCCTGCCTCCTGGGTTCAAGCGATTCTCCTGCCTCAGCCTCCTGAATAGCTGGGATTACATGCATGTACCACGACGCCTGGCTAATGTTTCATTTTTCAAAGAAGTTTCTCTTATTTCCCTATCTTTTTTTATCTTCCAAGGAGCAATAAATCATAATTACTGCTCTCCTAGACAAGCTGCTCCATTGTGTTGGATAGGAACTATATCTTTGTTTCACATCATTATTACCTCCAAAAACGCTGCCTTCACTTCACAGCACAGTCTTGCTGCCTTGTTTCACAGTAAAATTGTACTCTGCTCAAACTCGAAGAACCCAAAGAAACTAGAGCAAATAGCAGTCAAATTCATATGAATGAAAGATAGAGGACCAAAGATTTTAAAGTACTGATTTAGTAACTTTACGCCTACTGGCTCAAAGCTTCTATCTAAATATGTTATTAAAACAGCAGTAGTAGAAATGAAAGATACACTAATGAAAAAGGAACTCAGAAATGAGGTCATTAAATATAACTAACTATATTTTAGATATGGATATGTATTTTTCTGATTAGCATCAGGCAAACGTCTAAACTATCTATTCTGAATTCTAGTCCCGGAAAAGAAGTTCAGAGACAATTACAAAGAAGGTGCTTCATAGTATCAGGTCCGTTTTTAAAATGATGAGAGCCTTTGGGAAAATTGCTTTAGTCTTTCTTTTAAGATTTCTGTTGGTGATAATCCATTCACATCGGCACCCTCATAGTCTACTTTGTCTTTATTTGTATCACTGGATTTTTTATTTTGAGACAGGGTGCCTCACTTTGTTGCCCAGGCTGGAGTGCAGTGGTGCCGTCAACAGCTCACGGCAATCTCCACATCCTGGGCTTGAGCGATCCAACCACCTCAGTCCCCCAAGTGGCTGGGACTACAGGCATGCGCCACCACACCTGACTAATATTTTAATTTTTCATAGAGATGGGGGTCTCACTATATTGCCCAGGTTGGTCTTGAACTCCTGGGCTCAAGTGATCCGCCTGCCTTGGCCTCCCAAAGTGCTGGGATTACAGGCGTGAGCCACCGCAACCGGCCATTATTGGATTCTTGGGTAGCTTTTCTAAGCCATATATGACTAAGAAAAGAGGAAATCAGGTGGTATAGGTATGGCTCTAGGAATGTTTTGTAGATCTACAGCAGAACTGGAACGACGATACAAGGAATGCCTGCTGTTGTCCCAGACTCGAGTTCCTAAATGTGAGAGGAGAGTGAGGTGCACCTTGAGAGCACAGGGTGGGCCTTGAGACGCCGAGGAGGGCAGATAGGAGAGCCGGGCACCGCAGGGGGCTAGGGCTCTGTGAGCTGTGGCTCATCTCACACTTCCTCACTGCCCTGCTTTGTGGCCATGGCTGGTCCCTTCTCTCCGCAGGCCTTTTCCAGAAGCATTAACCGAGACAAGCACTTGGCAGTGGCTTACTTCCAACGAGGGATGCTCTACTACCAGACAGAGAAGTAAGTGGTTCAATGTTGCACCAACTGGAGAATTTCAGAGGGAAACCCAAGGGGTCTCGGTGCTGCGGACTTGGTGTTTGAGAAGTACCTTCCCAGCCTCTGTTGGGAAGTGTGACTGGCCCTTCTGGGGACAGTTATGCAATAAATCAGCAGGTGAGGCAGACGCTCTCACTGGGGAGGGAAGGCAGGTCTGCCGCCAGATTATAAATCAGCTGTCACAGGCACAACGAGCCTAGGTAACCACCATGGGCCCGATATTCAGCTGGTGTGGCACCCCACCAGTGTCCCTGACGGGGTCAACCATGGAGGGCTACTATAAGGCACTGAGCTGCCACAGAATGGGGATGATAAAGAAATGCATCAAAACCTGGCTTCCTCCCAGCAAAATGCATTTTCAAAACCTGCTTCAATTCATTTGAAGAAATACAATTCAGCTGCAAAAATGAGAATATAAACTAACATTATATGTATAAGAATAAATTAATACAGATAAATAAGTAGCATATATACTCACACAGGAAAAGTTTATGGTGGATGTTAAATTTAAAAAACAGATTTCAAAACAGTACATATAGCATAGTCCCATTTCTGTATCACAGAATAAAGTCTGGAAGGCATAGACCAAAATATTCTCTCTGGATGGTGGTATTGTAGGAAAATCCATTTTCTTCTATCACCCTATCTACATTTTTAGGTTTGTTTATAGTCAACATGGAATAATTAGTACAAAGATTAATAAATTCAAAATGAAAGTTCATCTGAATTCCTCCTCCCTCTCATCCTGCACAAATACCTCAGAGCAAATAACAAAGGAAAAGAATTCTAAGTGGTAATTTCAGATGTTTTAGGGGATGGCAAACTGACCCTTTGTAGAAGTTGTTCCACCAGCGTGTGTAAGTTCTAGGGAAGAGGAGTTTGGCTCAGGCTAATGAAGAACCTTCTTTTATTTTTGAGAGAGTCTTGCCCTGTCTCCCAGGCTGGAGTGCAATGACGTGGATCTCAGCTCACTGCAACGTCCGCCTCCCAGGTTCAAATGATTCTCCTGCCTCAGCCTCCCAAGTAGCTGGGATTACAGGCGCCCACCACAACACCCAGATCATTTTTGTATTTTTAGTAGAGACCCAGTTTAACCATGTTGGCCAGGCTGGTCTTGAACTCTCCACCTTGTGATTTACCCGCCTCAGCCTCCCAAAGTGCTGGGATTACAGGCATGAGCCTCCATGTCTGGCCTAATGAAGAACTTTCTAACAGTGAAAATGGTTCATGCATGGTGTGGGTGGGGGTGAAGGTGAGACCAAGCATGGATGGAACAGCAGGGAGGTTGCAGACAATGTCCAGACATCAGACAGAGGGCTGGGCTCTGATCCTGTGCCACTTTGAAAGACTTTGATCCCACGGTTAGGTCAGAAACAGCCTGCAAAACCTGTGTGTGCAGCTGTTGCTAAGGGCAACCACAAGCTGCTCAAAGGACTTTAAAGATGTGGATGCAGTAAATTACCTGAAGAAGTGAAAGTAGAAGTGAAGTCTTTTCTAGAAGAAAAACCACAGACACAATGGCAGTCTGGGGAGAGAGGGAGCGTGGGATTGGGAGAAGATATCCAGGCATTTATCTTTTTCTTCCCTCCATATTTTGTTTGACAGATTTATTGTGACTTTACAAATTCTTTTTTAAGTTTAAATTTAAATTGTTTTGTTTTCATGTTTGCAGTCACATAGCAGGTGTGCATATTTACGGGGCACATGAGATGCTTTGGTACAGCAGGCGTATGTCTTGACTGGCATTTTGCCTCTCACTGCCTGTCCCCACTCTTAACATCCTTCTCTTTCTCACTCACCCTTCCCCCATCTCCAGACCATGGAATATGCAGGGGGGTCTGAGAACAAATCCTTCAGCCGATCTTAAATCTCAAAATGGAAACTCTAAGGCCATTCCTTAGTAAGCTCTAATAGCCTATCAAGAGGAGGGACACCTGGCAAAAGAGTGAAGGCTCCCCGAAAGAATTTCCTCCAGAAAAGGCTCTCAAGTCCCAAAAGCTGGAAGGCTACCGTTTTGAGTGATTAGAAAGATCTTGGAAAGATCTAAGAATAAGACCCAGGATTCAATTGATCTGTGATTGATAATATTAGTAGTTAAACCTGAGAGAAAAATCTACCAAATTTTATCTGTAATTCAATGAGAGGCACTAATCTCAACGTCAAGCCAGCTCTCTTGTGCAATTCCCTAGGTGTTGCTGTTCCCCTTAAAGTTCTGTTCTTGATGCTTTTCCCTTTTGCGACTATAGCAGTGGTTGTTAAATGGTAAAATGTGATTCTGGAAACACACTCTCAAGCACACACATTCGTTTATGTACAATTCAGGGGGCTCTGGATACGGAAGTCCATATGTGAACCTTGAGGATCCATTCCTGGGCAAGGCCATCCTCACCCATACGGCTGGCCTCCATTTCTCATGGAATCTGTACCTGGGATCAATCCAGGGAATGTCTCTTTCCCTAAACCTTGTCAGGCTGACCTCTTAAACATGTCTTAAGTCCACCTGTTTCTCTCCATCCCCACTAACACTGCCTTGGTTGAGACCTTCATTTTTCACCAGGACTAATGCAGTCACTTCCAAACTGATTTCCCAGCCACGGCTCTTGTCCCCTCCATTTGTATTCCAGAGTGATCTTAAAAAAAAAAAAATCACTGCGATCTGTGTGAGAACTTCCAGTGGCTCCAATGACTGCAAGACAAAGGCTAAATTCCCTTGCCTGTTCCTATGTGGTCCAGCTGCTGCCACCCACTCATCATCCTCGGTGCCATTGCCCCTGCCATGCCCAACCACCAGGGTGGCATCTTCTCCCTCTTTGAGCCTCCTTTTCTAACATGTCTGGCCCACAACAGACATTTGCTTCCTGTATATGTTTGTCTTCTCCGCTACTCTACGAATTTCTTAAGAGAGGAAATCTGTACTTACTCATGCTTGTATTTCAGTATCTAGCATAGTAGTTACTCAATAAATGGCGTGTTGGATTAAATAAAAGTGAGACTAGATAGTCTCTGTTTCAAGGAACTTATAAATTAAAAAGGGGAAACAAGTCCAGAACACCAGTAACTGTCATGCAAGGCAGAAGTGGGTAAATGCTGTAAGAGGTAGTTTTAAGTAAGTAGGATCAGGGCTAGAGAGAATTACTTTGTTATATGTGGGACAAGAATTCCCTCAGATTGGCTGGGCATGGTGGCTCACACCTGTAACCCCAGCACTTTGGAAGGCCGATGTCGGCAGATTGCTTGAGGTCAGGGGTTGGAGACCAGCCTGGCCAACATGGTGAAACCCCATCTCCACTAAAAATACAAAAAATTAGCAGCACGTGGTGGCAGGTGCCTGTACTTCCAGCTGCTTGGGAGGCTGAGGCAGGAGAATAGCTTATACCTGGGAGGCAGAGGTTGCAGCGAGCTGAGATCACACCACTGCACTCCAGCCTGGGCAACAGAGCAAGACTCTGTCTGGAAAAAAAAAAAGGGAATTCCCTCAGATTACAGTGGGAACTGTTGAAGGCTGATAATGTAATGAATGGAGGTTTTTTCCCCTCTATTTCCCCACTTTCATTTATTGTTGTATTGCTCTTCTGTCATAAAGTTCCAAGAGCACAAAGTACATTTCTGAGAAAGTAGGTGGTGCCTCAGTGATGATCACGGTCAAGCTCTCTCACCTCTCTGGTCCCAGCCTTGTCATCTGAAAGGCGGAGGAGCTCAAAGCTGTCTTTCAGATCCTGTGCCTTATGAGTCTTAGGGCATGACAATAGGGTGAGACCCTTTTGAGGGAGTAGGCTTATAGAGGCTCCATAGCAAAGCCTTCTCCCTGCTGACCTGGAAACAGGAAAGGGAGTGGACCCAAATCTCTGTTGCAGCAGCCACTGCAGCATCCCAAAGGTGTCTGACTTTTTGACTTCTTTCAGCTTGCTGAGATGCCATTATCCTGGGTGCAGGTGTATGAGCTGCGGACTCTGGACCGCATGGGGCACTGGCAGCACGGAACAGGCAGGTTTACTTCAGTGACTACTAAGAAACCTCACAGGAGTATTACACAAATGGGGATTATAAACTCTCTCAAGCCTGGAGCTTGTAAAAAGCCGTGGCGAGGTTACTGCTTCGGCTGGTGGACCGACTCCCTGCCTGGGAGGAGCGGGGGCTTTGGGTCCAGTGCAGCCATGGTGCCCTATGGAGTGTCATTGAAGTGTGGGTGTGAAGAAAGCACCCACGCCCAGCCCAGCAGAGCCCAGCAGGAAGCTGCCAGCACCTTGGCTGCCTCTTTGGGGATGCTTCCAAATGGCTCCAAAGAGAGCCGCTAAGAAGGGCGGGGGCTGCCGCAGCACTGCCCACTGGCACGCAGTGCTGAGTGCTATTTTGGGATTCTCATACTGAGCCTATTTCGACCCTGTACAGTGGGAAAGGAGCTGTGTGACAAAGCGGAAACCCCTGAGGGCTGCAGCTCTGGGTAGACAAGTGGAGAGGCCGAGGAGAGGCCTGCAGCAGGGAGTGAGGGGGCTGGGAAGCAGGCCGATGCCTTCAGAGACATGCTTAAAAACGGTACTTACAGGCTGGGCACGGTGGCTCAAGCCTGTAATCCCAGCTCTTTGGGAGGCCGAAGTGGGTGGATCACAAGGTCAAGAGATTGAGACCATCCTGGCCAACATGTTGAAACCCCGTCTCTCCTAAAAATACAAAAATCAGCTGAGGGTGATGGTGCAGGCCTAAAGTCCCAGCTACTCGAGAGGCTGAGGCAGGAGAATAGTTTGAACCAGGGAGTTGGAGGTTGCAGTGAGCCAAGATTGGGCCACTGCACTCTAGCCTGGCGACAGTGAGACTCCGTCTCAAATAAAACAAAACAAACAAAAAAAAACAAGGGTACCCCCTCCCCATTTTACAAATTAATTAATTAGGCTCTGTGCAGTGGCTCACACCTCCAGTCTTGGGACTTTGGGAGGCTGAGGTGGGAGGATTGCTTGAATCAAGGAGTTCAAGACCAGCCTAAGCAACATAGTGAGACACTCCATCTTTGTAACAAAATTAATAAATAAAGCAAGTAATCAATTTTTTGGAGAAGGGGGTCTCACTGTGTTGTCCAGGCTGGCCTCAAACTCGGGTTCAAGTGATCCTCCTGCCCAGCCTCTGGCAGAGTAGCTGGAACTGCAGGCTCAACGCTCAGCCCCCAGCCCCACCCTGATTTTTTGGTTGTTAGGCTTTCTCTTTTCTTTTCCTTCCTTCCTTCCTTTCTCTTTCTTCTTTCTTTTCTTTCTTTCTTTCCTTTTTTTTTTTTTTTTTTTTTTTGAGACAGGATTTCACTCTGCCGCCCAGACTGGAGTGGAGTAGTGAGATCACATCTCACTGCAGTCTTGACTTCCTGGGCTCAGGTGATTCTCCAACCTCAGCTTCCTAACTGGGACTACAGGCCCCATGCCTGGCTAATTTTTTGTACTTTTAGTAAAGATGGGGTTTTGCTGTGTTGCCCTAGTGGATCTACCCTATCTTTAACACAAAGCAAATGCTCTGAATAATTTGTCAGTTCTTTCTCTTTTCCTCCCACCAAGTCCAAATCTGTAGACATCTTTTTTTTTTTTTAAGTCAGAGTCTCGCTCTGTCACCCAGGCTGGAATGCAGCAGTAGGAGTTTGGCTCACTTCAACCTCTGTCTCCTGGGTTCAAGTGATTCTCCTGCCTCAACCTCCTGAGTAGCTGGGACTATAGGCACGCACTACCATGCCTGGCTAATTTTTTTATATTTTTAGTAGAGACGGGGTTTCACCATGTTGGCCAGGCTGGTCTTGAATTCCTGACCTCAAGTGATCCACTTGCCTCGGCTTCCCAAAGTGCTGGGATTGCAGGTGTGAGCCACCACACCTGGCCTCTGTAGACATCATGATGGGCTAGGGAATTATTAGGCGGATTTTGCTGGGCTCATATAATGCCTAGTAGACCCAGGTGGTGTCACTTCCCAGCTGAAATCCATCTGTTTAGCCAGCTCAGCAGGGAGGAAGGCACGTTGATAGGTTAATGCTGAAGGTACTTAAAGTGTGTGCCCTCTGAGACCTTTAGCAAGCTCCCAAACAGGCAACAGAACATGGTGGAAGTTTCAGCTACTGGGGAACAGGAATCCTGTGCTTCTGCCTGTCCCCTTCACAGTGGAAGAGGCTCCGTGGCTCAGTGAATTGAAGGTAGTCACCCCTCCTTCCAGCTTAAAAAGAGGAACTTTATTTCTGGGGTACTTTTGGGTACCTTCTTCCCCTTCCCAGTAATCCAGAAAGATGTGTGGAAGCAACCTGAAAGGCCCACTGCTACTTAAGGAATTGCCTGCATGCATTTAGTAGGTTTTACAGTCATCTTTATTAACAACAGGGATCCTAGAGAAAGCCCTCCTCGGATTTCAAACCCAAGGTCTCTTGTTTCCCACATCGCCGCTGCCGCCGCCCTGGGACTTACCTCAACCCTAACGGTGATGGCAAGTGGAACTTCTCCCCCAGCCACACTGGCACCCGTTCCTTACGACTCTCTTGGTCAACCAGCCCTTGTGCTCAGCTCTAAACTTCCTTGAGATCAGGGTTCTACCTTCTACACCATGTATTATTTAAGTAGCCTGATAATAGCGTATATGGCATTTGAAAAGCGACAAGCCAGGTTGTCAGAAAGGTGACAGTTTTGTGCAGTCAATAGAGAAGAAACTCCCTGTGATTGTCCAAGACTAGGGGCACTCAGGGTTGCTGTGAGGAACAGCCCTTCCTTGGGATGGGGGGTGGGGGGCACCATTCCCAAGGAGTTCTATAGAATACTTGCGCTCAGGATTGCTGAAAAACTAGAACAGGTCAAAAGGAACTGAAAGGCTTCTTGTCCCAGTGAAATAGATGGGGAAGGGAGAAGCAGACTCACATTTTACGCGGCATTTATCCTTCCTTGCACTGCTGTATTTTCTCCCCCTGTCCTGCAGGTACGATTTGGCTATCAAAGACCTTAAAGAAGCCTTGACTCAGCTTCGAGGGAACCAGCTGATAGACTATAAGATCCTGGGGCTTCAGTTCAAGTTGTTTGCCTGTGAGGTAAGGAGAACAGGGCCTGTGCAGGGCAGGAGGGGATCCTGGCTGAATGGACAGCTGACAGTTCAGATGCACAGTGATCTGTTGACACCTCCAGGAGCTTGGAAAAGCCATTTTGCCTCCTCTGCCTTGAGACTCAGATTTTCCCTGAAGAAAAGACTGAGATGGATTATTTCAGGCTCATCAAGGCATTGTCATCAGTTATGTGGGGGCATACGGCTTATTCATGTGAGGCTCAAAGGACCAGGTGAAAATGAGCCCACTGGGCTCTCTGAAGGGAAGCTGGACCCAAGTGTGTTAGCTTGTGAAAATGTTCATGATAATTTGCATGTTTTGTTTAGCAATTCAGATCGACAAGCTGTTTGTTCAGCATTTTGCCAGCAGATCCAAAATCATGAGTTGGTCATTCATGCAGGACCTGCCAGAACCTTCCTCAGTTTCCAAGTTTATAGACCACATTCTGTACTATCCATGGATCTTACCCCATGTACTTGATGGATACCTAAAGAGAGTGAGGATAATTTGGCATAAATCTGTCCCTTTTTTCTCAAAGAACAGCTCAAGGCATATATTTAGGTAAAGATTTCTGCAGAACAACTTCTTTTCTCTATTATCGAAAGGGAGAGTCATGACTGGCTCTGACTTTGCAGGTTCATTTACTTTTTCCAGTTGGCCCTTCCCACCCCTCCCACTTCTAAGTATGTATCAGCATTTTTGAAAACTAAAATTCCTGTAAATGTCACAGATCTTTCTTTAGAAAAATCACTGGTGCTTTAGTTTCTCAGGCACAAGAAGTCAAGTGTTCCCAGGGTTGCTCACGGCTAATAATAGAGTCTGTAGCTGCCCTTGGCCCCTGGGGACATGTGGCCCCATCCCAACCCTGCAGCAGACTAGCAACTTACTTCACTTCTCACATTCTGGGAAGATGGGGCTTTGCGGTGGGAATTGGCTGCCATTTGACCAGCTTCTTGAGTAGGGTTTCTCAACCGTGGTGCTATTAATGTGTTGGACCCGACAATCTCGTGCAGCAGAGGTGGGAGGGGTGCGGTGTGTCCTGTGGATCGTGGGATCTTTGACAGCATCTGTAGTTTTAGATGCTACCATCACTCAATGTGACAACCCAAAATACCTCCAGACATTGCCAGTAACCCAATGAGAGCCACTTACACAGGTTAAACAGTTGGGGGACAAGTGACTCTAGAAAAAGGATCATGCCATAGCAGCATCAAAGCAGAGTCCCATGAGAGGAGTGTTTCCCCTGGAGTTGAGGTGAAATGGCCTGAGAAGACAAAAATACTGGCTGAGTGGCCCTGTCTGCAAGTAAGCCTGAACTTTTAGGGTCTAAGGCCCTCTTTGTCACGTGGGACTTTCCAGTCATTTCCCTACTTATAATCCTTCTCTTTCTAATGTGGTATGACCCTGGCTTCTGAGAATCACATGATTATTTTTAAACAATGTCAAAGTTTTTCTTGTCATCAGTTCGTAAAAGCTGATTGTAGGGAGATGTCTTAAGAGAAGGTGGCTGAGAACCAAATAGGAAGTTTTAAATGACCTAAGTTCTTTCTTTCTGCACACAAGGTCAGGGATGGGCTGGAGAAATTGACAAATTCAGAAGGCAGTTGCTCCTTGAGTCTCAGAAATAGGCCTGAAAGGAGTCCAGATTTCCACTTCCAGGATTGATCCTGTCCCCCATCATCCAGCACCAGCTACTAATGCCACGGAAACACCAACCTTGCCACCTGTCTGAGTTTGGCAAGTTCATGTTGTTGGCAGGAGCCTCGGTTCTTTGCTAAATGAACTCTCTAGAGCTGCCTAAGTCTTGTTATGACATGGCAGCTGGCATCCCCCAGAGCAAGTGGCCCAAGAGCAAGTCAGAGTGTCAATGTCTTTTATAACGTAGCCTCAAATGTCACACCCCCTCACTTCCTTAATATCCTATTTAAAAAATTTATTTGGTCAGGCATGGTGGTTCACGCCTGTAATCCCGGCACTTTGGGAGGCCAGGGCAGGTGGATCACCTGAGTTCAGGAGTTCAAGACCAGCCTGACCAACGTGATGAACCCCCATTTCTACTAAAAATACCAAAAAAAAAAAAAAAAAGCCAGATGTGGTACCATGTGCCTGTAGTCCCAGCTACTTGGGAGGCTGAAGCAGGAGAATCACTTGAACCCGGGAGGGGGAGGTTGCAGTGAGCCAAGATCATGCCATTGCACTCTAGCTTGGGCAACAAGAGCAAAACTCGGTCTCAAAACAAAAAAAAATTATTTTAGTTAAGCCATTTTTAAAATCTTAGTAATGCATCCAAACAATTATGTGTAAATTATGACGCATAATAATAAACACTCAAGAATCTACAGCCCAACTCAAGACCTGGAAAGTGTGACTACTGTTGCATTTACCATTCCCTCCGCACCCCAGAGGAAGCATTCCCCTGGCTTCTGTGCTAACTTCTGTCTCCTGGGTTCAAGTGATTCTCCTGCCTCAGTTTCCCAAGTAGCTTGGATTACAGGTGCCCACCACCACGCCTAGCTAATTTTTGTATCTTTAGTAGACACAGTTTTCTCCATGTTGGCCAGGCTGATCTCGAACTCCTGACCTCAAGTGATTCACCTGCCTTGGCCTCCCAAAGTGCTGAGATTACAGGTGTGAGCCACGGTGCCTGGCCTGTGTTGCTGTATTGGTCTTGTAACTCATGTGGTCTGAGCCAGGTTCTGCTGGTGCTGGTACAGGAGGTTGCATCTTGATCCCTCTTCCCCCCCTGTACCTGTCCAGTGTTTTAGCCTAGGTACAGTGGCAGGAGCTGGACTGGAAGGCCACACACTTGTATTTTATTCCCAACTCTGTCTGCCTCTAGAAGGGGCCTTGAGCAAGTCACTCTTTCACTAAAGCAACTCATACTAAAACAGCACAACAATTCTTTTTTTTTTTTTTTTTTTTTTGATATGGAGCCTCACTTTGTCACCCAGGCTGGAGTACAGTGGCATGGTCTTGGCTCACTGCAACCTCCGCCTCCCAGGTTCAAGTAATTCTCCACCTCAGCCTCCCGAATAGCTGGGACTACAGGCACCCATCACCACACCCAGCTAATTTTTGTATTTTTAGTAGAGACAGGGTTTCACTATGTTGGCCAGGCTGGTCTGGAACTCCTGACCTCGTAATCCGCCGGCCTCAGCCTCCCAAAGTGCTGGGAGCATGAGCCACAGCACCTGGCCAATTCTTTTTTATTTTTTTTAAACCTGGCTTGAACACTCTGTATACAATAGTTCTTGTCCCTTCCTGACCTATTTGGTTATGGGAAGAATACACAAGATGTTGCATTTATACATTCAATGGTGTTTTCTTAACACCGTGTTTGTGTTTGACGTAACTCGATAGCAAGACTAATAGCAGTGTATTTTAGGTATTCCCAGGAATGCTGAGAAAGAGAGAAATGTTACCAGGTAGCATTCCCAGAGTATACGTGTGAGCCCTTCCCTGGCACCTTGATTTGAAGTAGTCTCAAGTTTTGTGTTGTGGTCTGTGCTTTTCCAGGTGTTATATAATATTGCTTTCATGTATGCCAAGAAGGAGGAATGGAAAAAAGCTGAGGAACAGTTAGCGTTGGCCACCAGCATGAAGTCTGAGCCCAGACATTCCAAAATCGACAAGGCCATGGAGTGTGTGTGGGTAAGCATATCAGTGATGCAGGTGGTGAGGGGAGTTCACTGGATGCTCGTTTGTCTCAGAGGACGTGCCACTGAGAAACCATCAAAGTGGTGCTTTCTTTCTGCGAGACCGGGTAGCACTCCTCTAAGGGCATAGTTCCACTTAAGATCTTTAATCTGTGCTGAGAAGCTGAGGCGTAGAGTATGGCACGGCAGAGCCTCGTGCCTCACAGCACCCTCGGGGTGGGGCCCCTTGGCAGTACGGAGCAGGATGTGGGATGCTGGAACGGTCTGCACAGACTCTCAGCACTGAGAGGGCAGAGCCCACGTCTGCTTGATCATCACCGAGTCCTCACAGCCTGGCACAGTGCTAGGCACGTAACAGATCTCAACAAAAATGTTTTGTTTTGTTTTGAGATGGAGTCTCACTCTGTTGCCCAGCTTGGAGTCCAGTAGTGTGATCTCGGCTCCCTGCAACCTTTGCCTCCTGGGTTCAAGCAATTCTCCTGACTCAGCCTCCCAAGTAGCTGGGATTCCAGGCTCATGCCACCAGGCCTAGCTACTTTTCATATTTTTAATAGAGATGGGGTTTTGCCATGTTGGCCAGTCTGGTCTCGAACTCCTGACCTCTGGTGAACCGTCCACCTTGGCCTCCCAAGATACTAGGATTGCAGATGTGAGCCGGCACACCTGACTAAATGTTTTGATTATGTGAATGAACAATAAGTTATTCATAGTTCAAGCATATTTGTGAATAAGGCTAGCTTTAAATCTGATCTTTAAAACACAGAGAAGAGGGTTCAAGTCAGTCTTTATATGCCTATCCTCATCAGCAAACACCCATCCAAGGTAGCACTGTCATGAGCCTTGCTTGATCCCGGGCCATCCTTGTGGTGGTGCCATCTACACTTGTGCAAGAACCCTACAGACACCACACAGAGTGGGAGAGGAGCAGTTCCTCTGGGAAAAGAGGTTGCTGGGCAAACAGCACCGACAATGTCTGCATGGCCTCTCAGCAGAAGGTGATATTGAAACCAACAATTCCTACCTTAACACCCTAGACGAATGACAGTATCATTTGGAAAAATGCTTCTATGTGGTTATCTCAATGAATTCTTGCACCTATTCACCGAGGGAGGCAGGACAAGCATCGTCACCCCCATTTTCAGGTAATGAAATGCTACATTTTCTGTGTTACAGAAGCAGAAGCTATATGAGCCCGTGGTGATCCCTGTGGGCAGGCTGTTTCGACCAAATGAGAGACAAGTGGCTCAGCTGGCCAAGAAGGATTACCTAGGCAAGGCGACGGTAGGTGGGGTTGCTCCGCTTCCCCTGAGTCTCCCGTAGCCTGGGCCATGTGGAGCAAGGCAGGAGGGACTCTTGAGAGGAGGGTGCCCTCCTTGTGGCTCTGTCCCTGGGATGGCAGCGAGAGACTTGTTTATAGGAAGGAGATTTGGCTGAAAGATAGGCAGCCACTTCTGGTTTATTTTCTCCAGGCTGCTCTCATTCCTCCCTTCCAGCTTGACCCTAGGTGAGAGCCAAGGGTAACTTAGAATGCTGAGTCTTGGGGACTGAGCCAATGGAGGGAAAACACAGCCATGAGGAGCTCACTAAATGTGAAGAGAGAACCAGGCAGGGTGGCTCATGCCTGTCATCCCGGTGCTGTGGGAGGCTGAAGTGGGAGGATCACTTGAGGCCAGGAGTTTGAGACCAGCCTAGCTGGTGGAGAGGCTGAGGCTAGAGGATCACTTGAACCCAGGAGTTCAAGGTTACGGTGAGCTATGATTGCACCACTGTACTCTGGCCTGAGTGACAGAGTGAGACTCTATTTCTAAAAAATAAAAATAAATATGGAGAGAACGTGTTAGGGAAAGAGATTAGCATGGGATCCTCTTGGCTTAATGTGCCTTGTAGTTCACGTTTTAGTGGGCTGAGGAATCCTTCCCCACTTCTACAGCCCTATGTTTAGACTATGTCTGAAATTGAACTACTTCTAAATCCAGGTTTGGCCAGACGTGGTGGCTCATGCCTGTAATCCCAGCACTTTGGGAGGCTGAGGCAGGCAGATCACTTGAGGTCAGGAGTTCAAGACCAGGCTGGCCAACATGGTGAAACCCTATCTCTACTAAAAATACAAAATTAGCCAGGTGCTATGGCTCATGCCTGTAATCCCAGCTACTCGGGAGGCTGACGCAGGAAAATCGCTTGGACCCAGGAGGTGGAGGTTGCAATAAGCTGAGATCATGCCACTGTGCTCTAGCCTGGGCAACAAGAGAGAAACTCTGCCTCAATAATAATAATAATAATAATAATAATAAATCCAGGTAAATTCTTTCAGACATGATCTGAAGTGAGTCAGCAGTGCCCTTCCAAAACCACATTTGACTTTGACACATTTGTAGGGCTAAAGTTGCCCAGTGGTCAGGTAGCTGGGTCTAGCATACTAGCAGAGGTCAAGAAAGGCTGGGTTAATGGAAACACCCCAAATATCTATCAACTGATGAATGGATAATCAAAATGTGATATATCCATGCAACAGAATACTATGCATATAAAAAGGAATGGAGTAGGATTCATGATACAACATGCATGGGCCTTGAAAACATGAAGTTATGTGAAGGAAGCCAGACACAAAAGGCCACCTGTTACACAATTCCACTTACATGGACTGTCTTGTGCAACCTCTCAGCACTGAGAGGGCAGAGCCCATGTCTGCTTGACCACCACCGAGTCCTCACAGCCTGGCACAGAGCTAGACACATAACAGCTCTCAGCAAAAATGTTTGAGTATATGAATGAAAGATGAAAATTATCTATAGTTTAAGCATATTTGTAAATAAAGTTAGCTTTAAATCTGATTTTTAAAACTCAGAAGAAGAAGAGGGCTCCAGTCAGTCACAGAAAGCGAAGTGGTTGTTGCCGGTTTAGGGGGAAGGGGCATGTGGACTCATTGTTTAATGGGTCAGCATTTTCTTCTGGGGTGATGAAAATGTTTTGGAATTAGATAGAGGCGGTAGTTGCACAGCATTGTGAGTGTGATAAATGCCACTGAATCATTCACTTTAAAATGACTAATTTGGGCCAGGCACGGTGGCTTACGCCTGTAATCCCAGCACTTTGGGAGGGTGAAGTGGGTAGATCACCTGAGGTCAGAAGTTTGAGACCAGCCTGATGGCAAAACCCCAACTCCACTAAAAATACAAAAATTAGCCGAGTGTGGTGGTGCACACCTGCAGTTCCAGCTACTTGGGAGGCTAAGACAGGAGAATTGCTTGAACCCAGAGGTGGAAGTTGCAGTGTGCTGAGATCGTGACTTCAGCCCGGCAACAGAGTGAGACTCCATCTCAAAAAACAAACAAACAAACAAACAAAAAAAAAGCCAAAACTTTATTTGGTGTTACACAAATTGTACCTCAATAAAAACATTTTTTTAAGAGAGGAGAAAGCAAGCCTATGTTAGCAGGGGTTGGGTGAATACTTGTTTTTTCAGTTGCTGAAATCCTAATCCAGAGGATTAGGAATCTAATCTTTAGTTACTGTCCACGTCTGAAACCAGGCTTAAGGCATGAGCAAGGAGGGACACCTAGAAGAATGGAAATAGCGCTGGCAGAGCCTCACACCCGCCTGTCCTTGATTTCAGGTCGTGGCGTCTGTGGTGGATCAAGACAGTTTCTCTGGGTTTGCCCCTCTGCAACCACAGGTGAGGCAATCCTGACCTTCTCCATGGGCCTAGTTCTCGAGAGCTTTCTGTGAGCCTCCAGCTGGGGAGAGAGACTATGCGTGCTGAGCTGCCTTCTTGTAAGGCTTCTTCAAGTGGCCCTCAGCACAGCTGAGGGATCTGCCTGCCCTCTTGCAGTCCCAGGTTCCATGGCTGGTAAGGAAATGAGGCAGTGTCAGACTTTACCCCAAGTCCTCTGAAGCCAACTCTCCTGCTTCCCCCCAAATGTCAGTCTTCACATCTCTAAAGAGATGTGCTGATCCAATCTGAAACCTCAACCATTCTCTCAAGGCAGCTGAAACACAAGCTATGGAAGGCTTGTTAACAAAGCCTCTCCATGGGTACAGGGGCAAGTGAGGAACTCTTTGGGGTCTGGGCCTGAGGTTTGGGCTCTCCTGGCTCTACCCATCACCCATGTGCAGAGGTTTCCTCGGGAACACAGGGAGTGTGAACCCTTTTTCTGCCCAAACTGGGCTTGGAGAGGTGGGCTCAGATGAACTGGATGACAGTGGAACTAGAAATGCAGACAGTGCTTCCTTGTGAAGGGAAGTGGGGGCATGTAGAGGAAGAGAAAAGCTCTGTGGCAATGAAACCGTCATGGGAAGAGCACTGGCCAGCACCAGCAGAGGGCAGGTTTTCTGAGCAGGGAGCGAGTGTTCCAGATCTAGAGTCTGTGATCTCTTTCTTTACAATAACGTTGATGAAAGCCTTGCTGAAGTCCCTTCAGCTTCAGCCCAGCCAGAGGACCATGAGGGGAACACAGCCCAGGTCACTGGACTCCATGGTATCCAGTGTAGAATGGGGGAGGAGATCTTTGCCCAGTCAGTGGAACCTGTGTCAATTTTAAATACTCACAGGTGGCCCGGAACAGTGGCTCACGCCTATAATCCCACCATTTTGGGAGGTTGAGGTGAGCGGATCACTCAAGTCCAGGAGTTCCAGACCAGCCTGGCCAACATGGTGAAACCATCTCTACTAAAATTACAAATAATTAGCAGGGTGTGGTGGCAGGAGAATCACTTGAATCTGGCAGGCAGAGGTTGCAGCGAGCGGAGATCACGCCACTGCAGTCCAGCCTGGGTGACAGAGTGAGACTCCATCTCAAAAAATAATAATAATAAAATACTCAGAAGTGTCATGTGACATAGTAGACATTAATTACAGAACAGAGCTTTTGGCAACTGTCCTAGGAAAAGGACAGAGCTCAAGGTCGAAGCACTCTTGTGACACCATGTTGCTGTGTGACAGCTAGCTCTAGAAACTAGCTCTGGCCCTAAATGAATTGCTGTGCTAGTGAAACCCGCACCTAGGGAGCTGGTGGGAGGTGTGATTTCCCAGTGTTCAGTCAGGGTGACTGTGCCCTCTTCCGAGACAGTGTTCCCATCAGTCAATAACGCATTAGATTTTCTGGTCTGCAAGAACGCTTGAGTTACCATTAGCCATTTGATCTCTCTCCCTGCTTTCCCTCATTGCCTTTTCCATTTTCACTTCTCCTGAATGTTCAACAGGCAGCTGAGCCTCCACCCAGACCGAAAACCCCAGAGATCTTCAGGTAAGTTCAATTTAAATCCATATGTAGAATATCCAGGCTCCAAGTCTGAACTGATGGCAAGAAAGGGAGGGATGAGGATGAAACTCGGGTCAGGGTGTCAATCTTGTGGAATTTTCTAGAATGTCAGGCTTCTTCTGTTATCAAGGTTAGAACAGAATGATATGGTGGGAGTGGAGTCTTGGCTGTGGTGGGGTGGGGCATCGGGACCTGGCTGCAGCTACCTGGTATCCCAGTGGCCCCTGTCCACGTACACAGCCACCCACGTGGCAAGGGGTTGTTGCCGAAGGGAAGTGGTGTCCTGTGGAACGTAGCTACGCTAGGGCCCAGGGCGCTGACCTCAGGAGTTCAGTTTCGCACCAGCCACAGCCCGGACTGATGGGGGCAAGCAGAGCTCTCTGGAGACAGGAAGCTGGAATGGCGTCCTTTTTCCTGTGCGAGCACTTTCCACTCCCTGTTGGCATGTGCTTTCTGACGAAGTAAAGGGGAAGGACTCAAGAAAAGGAAGTCCTTCTTCTGTAAGATGAAAAACAGACGGTGACATAACCTACAGCAGTCTTAAGAATTCCCTCTAAGTAATGAAGCACGCCTGGTCCCCCCGCCCAAAAAGGAGGTTTCACAAAGTGATTGGCCGGGGGCGCTAGCTCACGTCTCATGCCTGTAATCCCAGCACTTTGGGAGTGGGAGGTGGGCAGATCACTTGAGGTCAGGAGTTCAAGACCAGCTGGACCAACGTGGCAAAATTCCATCTCTACTAAAAATACAAAAATTAGCTGGACGTGGTGATGCGTGCCTGTAATCCCAGCTACTCGGGAGGCTGAGGCAGGAGAATTACTTGAACTGGGGAAGTAGAGGTTGTAGTGAGCCGAGATCGCGCCACTACACTCCAGCCTGGGCAACAGAGTAACACTCTGTCTCAAAAAGTAAAAATAAATAAAAAGTGACAAAAGTACCAAAGCAACTACAAAAATGAGGGCGCTGGATGAGCTCGTTCCTAAACTCCTTGTCAGCTGGAAGGGCCTGTATTTCCTACAGGTAGGAGACATGCTGTCTGGAAACAAGGAAGGGCCAAGGAGGAAGTAACAGAGCGGGGAGTAAAGGGAGGAAAGCCTGAAACCCGAATGCCAGCTCTCAGTCACACCTTCCAAGGTGACGCCAGTCAGAGCCCCAGAGCCTAGAAGCGTGGTCAGCCCTGAGGGAACCGACGCTACACCACCGCAGCTGGGCAGCCTCAGAGCCCTCTAGAGCATCCCGCACGCTGCCCGTCACCCACCTCCTCACAGTCTCCTCACCCCGGCCCAACGCTGGCTCTAGGTGGTTCTCCTCCCTCGTCTCCCACCGGTCTTTCTCGCCCAGATGGCTCTCACTTGACTTCCACCGTGTGCTGTTCCCCTGACCACAGTCACCTGATCCACCCCAGCCCAGCCTCAGGAGCTGGACGAGATGACCCAGCCAGGGACCTTCCTCCTCAAAAGGGAAGGGAGGACCAGGATTGTAAGGCCTCACTGTCTAGTGTTGTGGGTTTTTGCTTTTATTCTTGTCCCTCTGCATATATGGTTATGAGCACGTGTATACCAGTTTCTTACCAAGACCTCTTGGGAGCCCAGGCAGGCTCAGCATGATCTAGGCACTTGCAGTTAGGTGTGGAGTTAGACCCAGGCTGGAGCCAAGTCCCTGGCTCCAAGTTCACTGTGCTTGTGTGAGAGCATGTGGGCTGCATCTTGTGCCTACACCCCGCAGGGCTCTGGAAGGGGAGGCTCACCGTGTGCTGTTTGGGTTTGTGCCTGAGACACAAGAAGAGCTCCAGGTCATGCCAGGGAACATTGTCTTTGTCTTGAAGAAGGGCAATGATAACTGGGCCACGGTCATGTTCAACGGGCAGGTATGCAGGGGACTGGGAGCGGTGTGATGGGCATGGGGTCCTGGCAGCAAACGCAGTCTTTCTGCAGAGCAGCGTCTGCTGCCTTCTGCGCAGACCAGCCAAACTCTTGCGTCTGCTCGCCATCCTTCCCCAGGACTCTGGGCTCTTGTGTGGTGTGGGTACTGATGAGCACATCTTTCTTTTCCCTTTCCGATTCTGTGACACTGCACTGCAGAAGGGGCTTGTTCCCTGCAACTACCTTGAACCAGTTGAGCTGCGGATCCACCCTCAGCAGCAGCCTCAGGTAATGCCACGCCAAGGCCTGACCTGTTTCCTCTCACCATTTAGAGATCTCTCCCTGGAGGGGAGAAGCAGTGTAAAGAGGTGCTGTCGGGACCCCTGGAGAAAGACTCCCTCGTCTTAAGCCTGCCTTGAGATGGCACCAGCTGCCCAGAGCTGAACTTGGGGATGAGGAAAAAGAAGCCCAGATGTGCTAAGTTGAAGGCATCTATAGGTCCCATTGGGCCCGCCCACCTTTGCGACTCTTCCTGGTCAGAAGTGACTTGGGAAGCAAAGCCTACAGTATACGGGAGTTAGGTCTTCCCAGGTGTGTCTGCTTCACCTGGAAGAATGTCAATGTGTTGGCTGGCACAATGCCATTAGAAATACAGTGAGGCCGGGCACAGTTGCTCATGCCTGTAATCCTAGCACTTTGGGAGGCTGAGGTGAGAGGATCACTTGAGCTCAGGAGTCTGAGACCAGCCTGAGCAAAATAGAGAGATGCCACCTCTATACAAATAAAAATCATAAAATGAGATCTGCTTTAGAGCTTTGAATCAGAGTGGGCCTTGCCAGCCACTGCTTCTAAACTGAATCCCCTCCTCACACTTCAAAAGTCTGTCCTTCTGCCAGGCCTAGAGGGCTGTCTCTGTTGGATCTGAGCACCTGTAAGTGACTCAATGGCAGTGGAGCCTGTCTCTCCCCAGACTGTGTGACCAGTTGTATATGAGCTCCGCCCTCCCTGGTCAGAGTTACTACATCCAGATGCTTTGAAAAGTTTCAGATGCCTTTCTCAATGCCCTCTGCAGTGGAGACAAGAGCTCAGTCCTACCCCATGTCCAGTGGATTTCCAATATGGCTGAAAGAGATGCTCACGCGGCACGAGCGTTTTAGCGGGTTAGGATTCTTCTTGCCACTGTGGTTTTCCTATTCATCAGGCCAACCTCGCCTTCTCTTTTGGCCAACATTTTCCTTCATCTTTCTCAAATGTCAGTGCCATTCCAACTTTTAGGACGTTATTTCCATCTGGCTCCTTTTCATGGAGTCTCTGTAGGGTGATCTTCCCACATCCTCCCTGCCTGGGAACTTCGATCATCACTCCCTGTTGCTTTCAGGAGGAAAGCTCTCCAGAGTCTGACATCCCAGCTCCTCCTAGTTCCAAAGCCCCTGGAAGACCCCAGTTGTCACCAGGTGAGTGGTCCTAGAGCAACAGCCTTGGTCTGGGTGCAGGGGCATGCCAGGCTGCTTCCTGAGTTCCTCTTGCTGCCTTCCAGGAAGTTCTGCTTGCTTCTTTTCCCAACATGTCACTCAGCTAATGACCACACAGCCCAGAACCCTCCTTTCCTGCACTACCCACCCACCCCAAACATGAAATCAGTGCCCTCTCTCCCTGCCTGCTGCAGAACACTCACCAGGCCTGGGTGAAGGTAGCTGGTCTCTGAGTGACTCACCTAGTCACCAAACCCCTTGATCGTTAGGTACTGAAACCATGTCTCAGGAAGAAAAGTTGAAGTAGCTGTACATGTTTACCTCAGAGGCGCATAGAGTGGCTGTTTTCAAATGACTGGGCCATTGTATCAGGAAAAGAAACTGTTCTGTGGAGCCCTGAGGCTGAACAGAGAACCAATGGGCAGATGTGAAACAGAAATGTTGTCTCCGAAAGGCTGTTTCCTGGGGTGGAGAGGGCTGTCTTGGGAAGCGATGGGCTTCTTATCATTCATGAAGCAGATTCTGGATAAGTGCTTGTTAGAGGTGCACAGAGTGAGTGGTTGGCCAGATCCTACATCCATGATTGCCACACATACCTGATCATCAGAATCTCTTGTGATGTCCCTTCCCCCATTTTTATTTTGAAAACCATCAGACCTACAGAAAAGTTGACAGTAGAATACAATACACGTCAGAATATCTTTCACTTAACTCACCAATTGTTAATATTTTGCACCATGAGTTGGCCTTGCTGCATTCTATTTTCCCCCCAAGCCAGTTGAAAATAAGTTACAGACTCGTGCCACTTCACCTTACGTATCTGCAAAAACACAAGCCCCTGAAGAGTCACAATAGAATCGTGGTATCCAGGATACTTAACGTTCATATAACATTATATAATGTATATTCCATATTCAGATTGCTCCCATTGCTCCTGCTCAATGTCCTTGACAGCTTTTTCGTTGCTATCTTTTGTCTAGAGGCTCATCAAGGATCACATATAAACCCAGGATGCTTTTGTGAATACAGGGTCCTAGGCTACTGGCTCTTGATTATTAAGGACTGGAATGGGGCTTGGGAATTTGTATTTTAGAAAAAAACTTGCCACGTGATTCTAATGATCAGCTAGGTTTGAGATCAATGGCCTTTTCTGATCATGTACCCTCTATAGTAAATATCTTTATGCATGCTTCTCTTACATAAATTATATTACATTAATACATGATGTACTTTAGGAAACATACACAAAGACTAAGGTGAAGATAAGTGGCTCTAAGAGTTCTTCCTGTGGCCTCTGGCTCACCTTGCACTCCTGATTTTCATTGCTTTGGATCCTGCGGGTTTAACTGACTTTTGGGATCCCACTAACCTCGTGGGTTGGTGAGGATATGCTGGTCCTTTGATAATTACCTACAGGCTCCCTGGAAGCAGAGACTGAGCTTGTTCATGCTTCCCCAGGGTTAGATTCTCCCCACAGTTTACTAAGGTTAATGATTCCCGCACAGATTGAAGGGTAAGAGGTTGGGGGCCCTGTCCGAAGAGGTTTCATCTGTGTGTGGCCGGGGCTGGCCAAGCATGTTCATTCATCATCATCTTTTGTTTTACTCCCTGCTTTTTCCATTTAGGTCAGAAACAAAAAGAAGAGCCTAAGGTAACATTTTTCCTTTGTACTGTTTCAAGTGGCAGAAGACGGGAGAGATTGGGCAATCAACCACAGACATACCTGTCTAGATTGTAGAAAGAGCCCCAGTGGAAGGGTCGAACCAGTTGCTACCTTACAGAGTCCACGGGCTGGGGACCTCTTAACAGCCTCCCCCACTATCATGCACACATGTCCTACTTCCCAGGCTGGTGGGCCAGATCCTGCCCAGGAGGGATTCCTGTCCAAGCACAGGTCGGGCTAAAGGACCTCTGAAAGCCTTTTAGGCTACCATGAAACCAGTTACTTGTTGGCCTCTCCCCTGCTGCCTGGGGTATCCCCATCTCTCCCCTGCTGCCTGGGGTACCCCCCTGCCAAATCACAAAGCCGCGGTGACTGGGATATTGAGAGAAAGCCTCAGACACTCAGATGTTCCCTCTGCTTCCTCCCCACTCAGGAAGTGAAGCTCAGTGTTCCCATGCCCTACACACTCAAGGTGCACTACAAGTACACAGTAGTCATGGAGACTCGGCCCGGGCTCCCCTACAGCCAGGTCCGGGACATGGTGTCTAAGAAACTAGAGCTCCGGCTGGAACACACTAAGCTGAGGTGAGCTCGATGGGGCAGTTGTGAGGAGTACGGCGGGGACCTTGTGCTGGCCTGGAGGACGGAAGAGGAGGGTGGTGTTTGTGATCATGTTCTCTGACTTACTCTTACTCGTTACCCCCACCCAGCTATCGGCCTCGGGACAGCAATGAGCTGGTGCCCCTTTCAGAAGAGAGCATGAAGGATGCCTGGGGCCAGGTGAAAAACTACTGCCTGACTCTGTGGTGTGAGAACACAGTGGTGAGTGCAGTGAGGGCATCTAAGCTTACATTTCCACTGGTCCACTTCCTCAGCAATTTGATGTTTACCAAGCACCTTCTGTGTACTGGGCACTGTGCATGGTGTTGGGGATATAGTGGGTACCAAGTCACAGCTCTGCCTCGCTTTTACCTGCATCATCACTCCAGTTGCAGCAGGGAGGGAGTTACCCACAAGAGAAGAGCAGGCCCGCAGGGCAAGAGCCCACAGAAAGCCTCCTGCACCTCCATTGGCTCCCTGCCTGCCTGTCAAACATCCTGTCCATCACTGTCAAGCAAGGTTGGAATGACATCATAGCTTAAGGCCGAGCTCAGAGCCATTCTTCACCTTCTTTTTTTTTTTTTTTTTTTTTTTTTTTGAGACGGAGTTTCGCTCTTGTTACCCAGGCTGGAGTGCAATGGCGCGATCTCGGCTCACTGCAACCTCCGCCTCCTGGGCTCAGGCAATTCTCCTGCCTCAGCCTCCCGAGTAGCTGGGATTATAGGCACGTGCCACCATGCCCAGCTAATTTTTTGTATTTTTAGTAGAGACGGGGTTTCACCATGTTGACCAGGATGGTCTCGATCTCTTGACCTCGTGATCCACCCGCCTCAGCCTCCCAAAGTGCTGGGATTACAGGCTTGAGCCACCGCGCCCGGCCTCTTCACCTTCTTAAGCTGTTTCGTTTCTTTTCCTTCCCTCCTTCCTTCCCTCCTTCCCTTCCTCTCTTCTTTCTTCTCTTTCTTTTTCTTTCTCTCTTTCCTCCCTCTCTCTCTCTCTTTCTTTCTCTCTTTCATCTTGCTCTGTCACCCAGGCTGGAGCATAGTGGCACAATCTCACTGCAACCTTCACCTCCCGGGCCCAAGCAATCCTCCCACCTCATACTCCTGAGTAGCTGGAACTACAGATGTGTACTACCACACATGGCTACTTTTAAAAGTTTTTTGTTTACAGTATATATAGTCTCACTATATTGCCTGGGCTGGTCTCAAACTCCTGGGCTCAAGCAATCCTTCCACCTCAGCCTCCCAAGGTGTTGGGATTATAGGCATGAGCCATTGCACCTGGCCAACCTTCTCAAGTTAACATGAGGAAGAACACTTTCACATGAGGGTGAAAGGAAACAGTATTTCACAAAGAGATGATTTGGGTAACAAACTATTAACAATAAGTATCTATGAGAACTTCCCGTGTGGGATACTGTGCAAAGTGCATTCTGTGTGCTAGTTCTTACAATCTTCACAACTCTGTCAAGTAGACATTATTTTCCCATTTTATAATTTAGGAAACAAGGCAAAGAGAGGTCAAGAAGCTTGACCAAGATTGAACAGCTTGTTAGTAGTGGAGCTGAACGCAGGCAGGCATTTTGATTCCAGAGCCTGCCTCTATTCCTAACTACCCCGCTGTACTGATGGTACCAGGGCAGGCTATCTGATTAGCCTGAGGTCTTCTAGCCTGAAGTCTGACTTTCAAGTAAGAACAGTGGGAGTCAGTTGAAAAGTTAGAGCTAGAAGCATTAATGGTAGCAACAAGGTAAGACTCTTGAACTCTGTCCATTGGTCTCCAGAGGAAAAGTTGCCGTTTCTTTTTGTTGTTGTTGTTGTTGTTTTAAATGGGGTTTCACCATATTGGTCAGGCTGGTCTCAAACTCCTGACCTCAGGTGATCCGCCCACCTCAACCTCCCAAAGTGCTGGGATTACAGGCGTGAGCCACCGCACCCGGCTTCTTTTTGTTGTTGATGTTAATTCCCTCTGCCAACTGCAGACCCCAAAAAACCACCCATATTCTTTCTCTAGTTTTGTCTTTTATAGAATTTCATGTAAGTGGATTGTACAGTGTATGTAGTCTTTTTGTGTCACTAGTCTCACCCTTTTGATTGCTAAATGGTATTTCATTGTATGGATACTCCACCTGTTTGTGGACATTTGGGTTGTTTGCTGGTGACATTTTTCAGCAAACACTTGCTGAGCACCTAGGGCTCTGCAGATAGGCAGGCACGGGAAGCCTCATGTTTTATAAACTGCTGGAGGTTCAGAAATGGCATACTGTGTTATGGGAGCATGTGGTAAACGATTTAACCCAGAACTGCCAGAGGGAAGTGGAACAGGTAGGAGCTGTCTTCCTGAAGAAAATGCTGCTGAGGTCATCCTGATGTTTCACCGTAAAACAGTAAGAAATTAGTGAGGTGGAGGAGGAAAGGATGCATTATACAAATGGAAAGGGAACATCATAAAAGTCAACATAGTGAGTAAAGGGGCTCAGTGTTGCTGGATGAAATGGGGAGGGTGGAGGGAGACGGGCTGGAAAGGCAACATATCATGGAAGGCCTTGAACACTAGGACGCTGCTGTGAGCAGGGAAGAGTGTCAAGTCTTGCTTCGAAAGAATGGTTATGAGGCATATGAGCAGGGTAGGGGGCGGAGCTGGGACAGCCAGATCTTCCTGATGAATCAGCTCCCATCCAGTCCTGAGGCTGGAGATAACCCCGGATACAGCAATAATGAGGCCAGTCTCCACTGACCAAGGCTGTTAATTAGTGCTGTTTCAGAAGTTTCAGCTCTCTCTCTATTCACCTGTTTTTCTGACTTTGCATTTTTAGATTGTGGCATTTGCAGTTGCATTGGTATAGGGTGGAGGGAGTATCATACGAAACAGTTCATATGTGAATCCTTGGGCGAGCTGCTGTTTTCTGCCTACAAGTGGATTTGGAGATGTAGAAATGGGCAAGCAGGAAAGCTACTCTGGCTCATCCTGGCCTGCAGCCACGGTAGAGGCTGAGTCCTTCCTGCAAACCTCATCCTCACAGCTGGGCAGAGGCGTTTAAAGGAAGGGGGTTTTTGGTAGATTCTCACTCAAGTCAGAGACGAATGTTTGCTGGAAAAGAAAAAGTGGGGCCGGGCGCGGTGGCTCAATCCTGTAATCCCAGCACTTTGGGAGGCCGAGGCGGGTGGATCACGAGGTCAAGAGATCGAGACCATCCTGGTCAACAAGGTGAAACCCCATCTCTACTAAAAATACAAAAAAATAGCTGGGCATGGTGGCGTGTGCCTGTAATCCCAGCTACTCAGGAGACTGAGGCAGGAGAATTGCTTGAACCCAGGAGGCGGAGGTTGCGGTGAGCCGAGATCGCGCCATTGCACTCCAGCCTGGGTAACAAGAGCGAAAACTCTGTCTCAAAAAAAAAAAAAAAAAGTGGGAGAAGAAGAGTGAAAAATAATGAACCGAGAGAAGGGCAGTGTATAAACAGCCACTGGGGCTGGGACAAAAGGCCCCAGTACCCTGGGGGTAAGACTGAGTGTGAGTGCGTGTCACGCACGGGTCTCTTGGAAATCCGAAAGGTCACTTTAGGTTTTCCAACTGTCTTTGGACAAACCCCTTCAGCATCTTTTTAAAAAGATTCTTCCTCGAATGAGTTCTGCTCTAAATGGGAACTACTACTTCAACTTTTTTTTAATTAATTTTTTTTCTTTTGACAGCAGCTTCAATCTATTTGGTGGCTACACATAGCCAACCCTCTTAAAACTCCCAACAATGTTTTTGCAACTTAATCCAGGCTCAGGAGTCACTGTGGAATGTTCTTTATCACTATGCATTAGCCTTGGAGGCAGCAAGGCAGGTTCTCACTCAGTAGGAGAAAGAAAATGGGCAGGGCAGGAAATTGGGAAATTAACAGGCCCTTTATTATTTCAGGGTGACCAAGGCTTTCCAGATGAACCCAAGGAAAGTGAAAAAGCTGATGCTGATAACCAGACAACAGAACCTCAGCTTAAGAAAGGCAGCCAAGTGGTAGCACTCTTCAGGTATGAGGCTGCCCAACCAGAGGACCTGGAGTTTCAGGAAGGGGATATAATCCTGGTGCTATCAAAGGGTAAGTGCTACTCCAAGATTATTGTAACAAATTTATATGTTAGCAGAAACAAGGTCAGGGGCAGAGAAAAGAAAACATCAATAACCTACAAACAAAACGTTGGCCAGTGTTTTCAACCTCCTTCCTAGCATTTCCCTGTGTATTGCTCTAGTAGCCACAGAAGTGACAAGCAGCTGAGAGTGTCTCCAAAAAAAAAAAAAAAAAAGTCTCTCTCTCTCTGTCACCCATGCTGGAATGCAATGGTGCAATCTAGGCTTACTACAACCTCTGGCTCCCAGGTTCAAGCGATTCTCCTGCCTCAGCCTCCCAAGTAGCTGGGATTACAGGCACCCGCCCACCATGCCTAGCTAACTTTTGTATTTTCAGTAGAGATGGGGTTTTGCCATATTGACCAGACCGGTCTCGAACTCCTGGCCTCAAGTGAGCCACCTGCCTCAGCCTCCCAAAGTGCTGGGATTATAGGCATGAGCCACTGCACCTGGCCAGTGACAACATCTCAATTATTAAAGAATGAGTATGCTTTGGAAAGCATGGATTCTCATTCCCAGAGGTAACAAATTGGCTGGAATTTGGTAACAAATTGCATTTGCATCAAGCCATGCGGCATTCTGCAAACCATAGTTCTTTGAATTAATATACTTTTCAAAGACAGAAGTTGGTAAATATTGCCTTAAAAACCAGCTATTCAGAACTACCCTGTGTCTCTGGAGACTTTCTTGATTGTTTGGAATGAACAGACTAAAAATTGAAACAGCTTGCCTGTAATCCTAGCTACTAGGGAGGCTGAGGTAGGAGGATCACTTGAGGCCAGGAGTTCAAGGGTGTTGACTGGGCAATATAGCAAGACCCACCTCTTAAAAGTGGAAAGTTCTAAGAATCCCTTGGAGAGTTTGTTAAATCAATTCCTGGGCCCAGCCTCCAGAGATTCTGATTCAGGTCCGGGCACGGGGCCTACCAACTTGCATTTCTACTAAGTTTCCAGGTGATGGTGGTCTACTGCCTACATTCAGAGAAACAGTGTTCCAACTCATGGTTTGCCAGCCTAGTTCTCTACCTGGACACAAGAAGTCCCATCATAAAAGCCCTGCTCATACACTGAGTCTGTCTGTACTACCAATGCAAAGCAGTGAAAAACTACTATCAATTTTAACAGAAAAATAAAGTGGGAGATTTTAAAGTAAATGGGAGAAAGCTGGGTGCAGTGGCTCACACCGGTAGTCCTAGAACTTTGGGAGGCTTAGGCAAGGTGGGTAGATCACTTGAGGCCCAGGAGTTCAAGACCAGCCTGGCCAATATGGTGAAAACCCGTCTCTATTAAAAATACAAAAGTTAGCCAGGTATGGTGGTACATGCCTGTAATCCTAGCTACTCAGGAGGCAGAGGCAGAATTGCTTGAACCCAAGAGGTGGAGACTGCAGTGAGCTGAGATGGTGCCACTGCACTCCAGCCTGGGTGACAGAGTGAGACTCAGTGGCAAAAATAAATAAATTTAAAAAGTTAGTTAATTGCTACACACTTGTATACTCTCTAAAGACTATACAAGTGTGTAGCAATTATTTAAAAATATGAGTCGTATAGACACGGCGTGGTGGTTTACATAGGTAATCCCAACACTTTGGGAGGCCAAGGTGGGTGGATCATCTGGGGTCAGGAGTTCAAGAGCAGCCTGGCCAACATGGTGAAACCCCGTCTCTACTAAAAATATTAGCTGGGTGTGGTGATGTGTGCCTGTAGTCCCAGTTACTCGAGAGGCTGAGGCAGGAGAATCACTTGAATCGGGGAGGCGGAGGTTGCGGTGAGCTGAGATTGTGCCATGTACCCCAGCCTGGGTAACAGAGACTCTGTCTCAAAAAAAAAAATAAATTAATTAAAAAAAAAAAAAGCAGAGTGTTCCAACAAAAGAGAATGGTGACTCAGTGGAAGAACTGGGTTGAACACCACCCAGTGCCACTTTCTAGTTTCCTAAATCAACCAACCAGCTCGAATTCCATCGTTTGGGAGAGGAAACAGGAATAAAACGAGCGAACACCTAAAACCACCTTTTGGGTAGATATGGAGAAAAGCAGTGCACTTATTACTATGATCCATCTGTACAAGTCTAAGTTGAGGAAGTACCCATATTGTAGCACTTCAGTTGAAAGCAGAATTTAGCATGCAGTCAGGGTAGGAGGGGAGTTCAACTGCTTTCGATAGTTATGAGACGGTTTCATCTACAAAGTGTTTCTCAAACTTTAATGTGCATGTGAATCACCTGGGCATCTTCCTAAATGGATTCTGACTCTCGTTTGGGGTCTGGGATTTTTCATTTCTAATGTTTCTAGCCCGCAACCTACCCTGTAAGTAGAAAGACTCAGGACAGTGATTTGCCTGAGAGAACTTGTGAAAAAACTGCTGCCCAGTCACACTACACATTAAAGCAGAATTTCTGGGGGCAGAATCCAGGCACCAGTGCCCTAATGTCTCATCTAGATGCACAATGACAAACTTTGAACCGGCTGTGTGGTCTCGTGGGTGGGCTTTGGCGATTATACCTAAGTTATCTGATTTTTACTGGCAGAATGGCTTTGAACAAGCTATTCACTTCTCTGGGTCTCCTTTTCCTTAGTAAAATGTGGATATCTATAAGTTATTAAGAAGTCTGAAAATATTTTCTAAGTACAATGCCTGTACTCTATTAAAGGCTCTGAATAGGAGCTATTAAAATCTTTATATTTTACAAACATGTACTAACCCATCACTAGCTCCAACTCAGCTGTGGAACGGAGTTTACTGAAAAGAAGAAAGCTTACTAACGAACTTTCACTTTTAATACATTTAACCAATGGCATGTCCCTTTTCTGTGGTCAAAACAAAGATTTCCAACAAAGCTCAGGTAAAATTCTCTCCTTTCTTAAAAAATTGGGCCAGGAACTGTGGCTAACCCCTATCACCACAGCACTCTGGGAGGCTGAGGTGAGCGGATCACTTGAGCCCAGGAGTTTGAGGGCAGCCTGTGCAATGTAGTGAGATCCGTCTCTAAGAAATACAAAAATTAGCCAGGCAGGCCTGTAGTCGCAGTTACTTGGGAGGCTGAGGTGGGAGATCACTTGAGCCCAGGAGGCTGCACTCCAGCCTGGGCGACAGTGAGACCCATTGAGGGCTGGGGGTAGTGGGGAGGATGGAAATTCTAAGGACTGATTGTTCAGTTTCTTTGACCTTACTTTTCCATGTGGTAACTTTTTGAAAACATAATTCATGCTTCTGCATTTTGCTTCATCATTATCATATTTAAGACAAATCAGTAAGATGGTTAAACCCTGTGTTCACTTTGAAACCACTTTGAATTACTGTCTTTTTCCTGTTGATCACAATTACTGGTAGGGAAGGGTGACCGATAAAATATTCTGTGTGGAACACCCAGACAGGGTAATCTTTCTATACTGGTTTTAGAAATCAATGTGTACTTTTCCTTTTATCAGTGAATGAAGAATGGCTGGAAGGGGAGTGCAAAGGGAAAGTTGGCATTTTCCCCAAAGTTTTTGTTGAAGAATGCGCAACTACAGATTTGGAAAGCACTCCGAGAGAAGTCTAGGATGTTTCACAAACTGCAAAGCCGAAAATGAAGCCCTATTACTTGTAAAATTTAGCACCCTTCTGCGGTACACCGTACTGAGACATTACAGTTTGGAAGTGTTCATTATTCCCTGTTAAAATTTAACCTACCTGGCAATGATGTGAGTACCCAGGACGATTTCTTGGGGCACAGGGGGTGAGGGGATGGGGACAGGTGAATGGAGGAGTTAGGGGAAACGAAAAGTGGATGGAAGTGTCTGGAAAGGGCACGAGAGGGGCTTCTAGGTCCCGATCCTGTTTTTTGCTCAGTGCTGGCTACCCAGCGGTGTTCACTGTTAAAACTCATCAAGCTGTCCATCTGGTTGCTGTACTTTCCTGTGTCACATCTCAATTTAAAAAACCCTATCTTCAAAAACCAAGACACCTAGGTCCAGGCTCAAGGACCAAGTATAAATATTCCTATTTCTGAACTACTATAATGGGCTCTGAAGGCTTGAAATAACGTTACAGGTTATTCATAAGACATATACAAATAAACTTGTTTTCTTTTTCCATTAAGTCTTGTTGCTTAAACAGAACCTGGACTGAGTTAGGTTCTCAGGAAATACAATACTCAATTCCACAGAGAACTAAAATACTAGAATTACATACCTTTGTACTTCTCAGAGAGGAACACTGATTATGTGTCACCGACATTTAAGTGATGAAAAGCGGCAGTGTTCATGAAACCAGCTGGTTAGTAGTATCTTGTTAGCTGACACCTGGCAGTAGTTATGCATTGCTTCACAATGGAGACATGTTCTGAGAAATGCGTTGTGCAAACATCTATCTGGAGTGCACTCACACTAGATGCTATAGCCTGCTACATAGCTAGGTCACAAGGCTACAAACCTGTACAGCGTGTTACTGTGTTGACTACTGTAGGCAACTATCCCACAATGGTAAGTATCTGTGTATCTAAACAGAGAAGGTCAGTAGAAATGTATTATAATCCATGGGAGCATCATTGTACATGCAGTCTGCTGTTGACCAAAATGTTGTTATATGGTAAATGACTGTCTATACTAATATGCGTAACAGAATGCAATGGATTTGGTTAACCCACCTGTTCAATTTTTCAGGATTAACTTGGATGAAGGATTTTATAACTATTAGACCTGAAGGCCTGGCCTGAATTCCTCTCCCTAGCCCCTTCTTGCAGTGTATGTTTTGCTTTGCTAACAATTTTTCAAGCGTGTAGGTTCTTGTGAAAAGCAGAATAAGGAAGAACTGCAGACCGAATCAACACCTAGGTGAAAGGAGAGCAGGTCAGGGTGAGCACACAGACATTACGGTCAGCTACAGCACTGGCTTCCAGGACACAGCTGAAGACCCAGCAAGCTACCACGGGAAACTGTGGACCTAACTCAAGGAAAAAGACTGCCTCAGTAACAGCTACAACAGGAATAAAAACGATGGGCTGTTAACTCCTTAAGTCATTCTTTTATTAAGAGTAATTTTGATCATCAGCTTCTTTCTACTCAGGCCTTTCCATTACAATTGTAAGTTCCGTAATTCATTGGTCTGGAATGCTACTAAAAGCAAAAATAACCCTGAAAAATATTCAAGTTCTGACCATCTGTGCCTTTCCTTGGATGTGTGAGTAGTTGAAATTCTTGCCTTTTAAGTTGGATTTTCAATACTTTTATCTTTTAGGATAGGAAAGAAATAATCCTTACACAGATCTGATTGGAGAGAACATGGTTTAATTAAAGGCAAAGCTGATTTTCAGCAGCTGCAGGTCTTGCACAGACAGACAAAAACAAAAAATAAAACCCAGAAAACAAAACAAAAAACCACAAAAGAAAGTTTACTACACAAAACCAGTTTCTGATAAAGATTCTCCTCCCCCTTCTCATTACTCCACAGTGAGGATGATAAGGCGAGGAATCTCGCCCCAAGAGTCAGAAAACATTCCAGACACCAAATTCTCATGCAGAATGGGGCTTTAAATGGGAACTGGGTATTACTGGGAGTGAGATGGTAAACCTGGTTAGCTTGTCTGGGGCGCAAGAATCAGTGACAGTTCAAACACCGGAATGTTGCAGCTGCCTGAATGCAGAGCTCAAACACACAAACTGGGTAAAGGTAGTAGGAAAAAGGCTTGGGACGAGGAGAGAAAGGTGGACACAGGGAAGAGGCTGAAGAGAAGCACAAAAGGTTTCATACTGCCATTGGGTGGGGGGGCTTCACCTTTTCAGACCTTTCAAAAAAAAAACAAAACCCAAACACCATGTCAAACTAAAAGAGCAATAATGTTAAGCATACTGTGGGGAGGGGCCCTAACCACTCTCTGAAGAGCAATGAGCATTATCTCACCCCTTTTCATTGCTGGGGTTGCCCAGCCTCCAGTGACAACCGGGGCTCCTGGATGTGCTTTGCTCTACAGCTGAGTTCCAGCTCTTAAGTTCCACACTAACTCCGTACGCTCACACACACAACCCCTCCCCTTTGGGACAGCAGATGGGCATGTGTGTGTACACAAACATACAGACACACAAAGGAGAGACCTCCCAGAAAATAAACCCTACCACTAGCACAGCAATTGAACATTTAGATTGTTTCCATAATTTCCCCTTAAAATATTACTCTTCCAGGAAATGACTAACAGAAATGCTGTCCTTCTGTTTCTACCCAAGAACATTTTCAGTCCTCTTTCCTCCTAATAAATATCAAAGAGTTTATTTTCCTTTCGTTCGCCTTCTCCAAAATGGACGACGTCGTTTTCTTCTGTGCATGATGTGCACATGTCCGTGCTGCCTTGAATTTCACTCTGAAAGCAGAAGCTGGGAGACTGCAGCTGGGCAGGGGCCTGGGCCCTCTGTGGGCTGTGCAGATACTGCTGCTTCCTTCCTCTTCAGACTGTCTTTTGGGCCCCAACTGCTGGACCCCATGCTGCTGCTTCTTGGGAAGATGTGATGTCACACACATTAGGAATAAAATCAATTACGAGCAGACCGCATCAGGTAAAAAAGGGATGGAGATGGGGCAGGAGGGTGGGAAGTAGAATGGGGGCACAAAAACCAACCAAACAAAAAATAACCACACTGAAAGCTTCTACCTATTAGAATGTGCCAGGCTGTGAATGGACTAGCCTGCCTTCTGTGAGACTGCTTGCTATGCGACTGCAAAATCTATAGGAATCAAAAACGTAATTTGAAATCCTCCAGCAGTCACCTGCTAGTCCAGCCCAGCACCACCACCCACACTGCATCCTTGATTGGGGCTCGAGCACCTACAGAGTGGAGGGCATTTCCTGCTGGAGTCTCCAGGCCGGAGGAGGGCCTACCAGAACCTTCTCAGAGGCCTTGAACTCTCCCTTTTGGAACACTTCCACTGGCTGAAGAGGTTGGTTCCCCATCCTGTCACCACCAACCTCTCACAGGAGCAGTGAACGGGGCTTTCCTTGCTACATACTGACTAGAAGCACACCTGTGTATGGAAGAATTCAGTGTGATATTTTACTACTGAGAGTAATAACAATAAAAGATGTTTAGGAATAATTTCAACTACATTCTCAGTCAGCAAAGCAATCATTAATGGATTCCTATTTTTATTCCCCAAAGAGGAAAAAAGGACTGAGAAGTTCCCATTGGCTTCTCCCATCTGCCTTCCCTTCTCAGCTTTCACTTCCCATGTGGCTGGGGACATGCACAATGGAGAAGGTGAGGCGGTGATACCAAGTAACTGAGTGAGATAAACAGCAGTTCCTCCCTCTCTCCCTCCGGAAGGCCCCGGGGGGACGGAGAGTTCCTGATGGATTTTTCTTTTTGTTGCACTGCGAACATTTCGTGCACACTCAGCGGGCTGGTGGAATACTTACACCCTCTTGACAGCGAGAAACAGAAAAGAGGGCTGCCACCTGCAGGGGACTGTGTGGGCCAGTCCTGCAAACCCAACATGCCATGGTTTATGGAGCCTTCATTCCCAGGTTGCCACTTTGGCCTCAGTGTGGAGGGTTCATGGTGCCTTGTCCCCGTTGCTGTTTCTGCTTCTGCTGCATTAACAGCTGCTCCAGAGCGGAAGGTCCAGGATGCATCATGGAACTGGACCAGATAGACTGAAAAACAGCCCAGAGCTTGTCAGCAGAGATCAAAGCCCAACTCTGCTGCCCCCCAAAATCCAGCTATTAGAAAAAGTCATTATGACTCTCAAAGCTGGTTAGTTTCCATTAAGATTATTTTAAACCAGAAGTGAAATCACATTTTATGTCAGGTTTTTTTTTTTTTTTTACTGAAACTCAGCTGTATGTGGTACCACAAAGGGCATTTACTAGAAAGGTTTTAGGCAAATACAACATTTCTAAAATTAGATAATCTTATTTTGTCAGAAAAAGCTTAAATCAAACATTCCAAGATGAATCAGAATTTTTTTAACCTTAGAATGAAACTAAAACCTTTGTTTCTGTTCCCCTGAAGATAACTGCTTTACCACTAGTAAATTCAGAAATTAAAAATCATCACGCAAGATTCTTCTGAAGCAGACCATGTTTCTAGGACTTTGCCATATATGTGCTATGCATCAGTCAACTCTGAGCACCTGAGAAGTAAGCCTGTTTATGAATGAAAGCAGAAACATCTTTACTGTAATAATCTTGTAGTTCTTAGTCCTGAAATTGACTCACCTTTAAGCTTTCCATGAGGACAGCAGAAGAATCCTCCATGGAGGGGCCATGGCTTGTCCAGGTGGCACTTGGAGTGCTGGCCTGATGCCAGCTGCTCTCAGAGGATGACGTTGCTGAGAGATAATCAATGCCAAACCCACCCATGGCTAAGGGATGAAAAGAGGTAAGAAAAATTCAGGAAGGTGTTCTATCACTGCCAATTGCCAGATCCCAGGGAAGGATACAGTAAATATCTTTCAATTTTGCTTGGCAATGAAATGTAGATCTCACCTGGCTTATCAGTTTTCCACCGATCTGCAGTCCTCCTATCCCTGTTATCTGGAGTCCCAATGGGTCCAAAATTGGAGAATGGAACAGAATTATGGTTGTGAGTTGGAGGAGAGCTGGGCAGACTGCTTGGATTAGAGGAATGAGGAGACTGGCTGGCTGGTGTTGAATGGTCTATTAAATAACAGCAACATAGCATATAGTAAAGCAATGTTACACAAACATACAAAGAACTACAGATTCCTGTAGATCTGATCACTAAAATTTTACTAACAATAACCACAGGGCTTTGAAGGAAAGGGAAACTAATGGCTCCAAAGAGATCTGCTAGATGCATTAATTTGCCCTGCTATCTAAGGCATGTTCTTTGCCTTAAAAAAGCAAAACAAAATAGTAGGCTATTTTTGTCGACTGAATGAATGCACTATGCTGGCATGACTATTTCAGGTAAATATTTATTGGTCTTACATATCAGAAAGAATTTGCTAACCTTAAGAATTACTATTAAGTCAGACTCTATTTAAAAAACTGAAGTTAAGCCAGGTACGGTGGCTCACTCCTGTCATCCCAGCACTTTGGGAGGCTGAGGCAGGGAGATCACCTGAGGTCACAAGTTCAAGA